CTGTGTATCTAAAGCTACCAGCGTGACTATGTTTATTGCAGCATTATTTACTATAGCTAAGATATGGAACCAACCCAGATGCCCCTCAGTAGATGAATGGATCAAAAAAATGTGGTATATAAACACAATGGAATTCTATGCCTCCATCAGAAAGAATGACATTGCCCCATTTGTTAGGAAATGGAAAGGCTTGGAAAAAAATTATATTAAGTGAAGTAAGCCAAGCCTAAAGAAACATAGGTCCCATGGTTTCCCTTATTTGCAATAACTAGTATATGTCTGAGTCAAGCAGAAAAGGTCAGATAAGTTGATGTTAGGGAAAGGAAACCTAAGATAAGTATTTAAATGTTTTTTTTTTCTTTCAAGTGATTGTTTCTAACACATTTATAAGATTATTTCTTTGTTGGTTTTTATGTCCCTCCCCCACCTTATAACCCCTCCTTTTACTTTATTTGATGTCGGTATAATTTGTGGAGGGGATGGGAAAAAACAAATCGTTTAAATAGAGATACAGGTGGACCTATTGCAACAATGAGATGTACAAGTCATTATTTTGAAAATGAACTTTACAACTTTGGTTAGGGGGGGAGGAGGAGGATTGGATGGAGGGGTGGGAGAGGATGGAAAGGGATGGGAAGGGAAAACAAAGGAGGAGGCTACAATGCTTGATAAGAAATGTACTCATTATCTTTCCCTATAGGCTGGTGTGTGTAAATATGTATGACTTATATACACACATAATTGAGACTAACCCCTCTGTATAGTCTTTTCACAACAAAAACAATAAAAAAATAAAATGCCCAGCATAAATATACCCAAGGACAGAAGGCCCTCTACAATGACAACTCTAAAACACTGATCTACGGAATTGAAGGGGACACTCATAAAAATCAAGGGAATGGAACGACATTAAATTACACGGATCGAGAAAACAGATACTGTGAAAATGGCCATATTACCAAAAGAGGTCTAAAGACTTGATCAACCTCCATCAAAAGTCTCATGGCCTTCTTCCCAGAAATGGAAAATGAAAGTGATATTAAATGTCACGTGGAAATACCAAAGACCTTGAGCAAAAGAAGTAGTGCTGGAAGTGGACAAGACTCAATTCACATTTTGCCACGGAGGAGAGAATAACATTCAATTCCTACAGTAAACACACCATATGCAGAAGGGGAAGAAATCTTGGCCATACATGCATCTGACAGAGGATGAATTTCCAGGATACATGAATCCCTCAAATAATTAAACACCAATACACACAATTCCATTAATAAATATATGGAGGAATTCGTCAGAGCTCAAAATAAGAATCTCCTATGGCCAATAACACATAAAAGACATTCAATATTCTCAGTCATAAACAAAATGCACATCATGACTGCACTGCATTCCAACTGTACCCTGACGATCATCAAGAAAAGATACGGGAACTGGCAAAGATGCAGGAAAAGAAACCTCCCATGGTGTCCTCAGAATGTGAGCGAGTGCACTATGGGACTCAGAATGGAAAACCCTCCACAGACTAAAAGCCAAGCCACCATGATCCTTCTCCTCACTCCTGCACACACCCAAGGGGTCTCGGGCAGTCTATGATATAGTGACTGCACAGTTGTGTTTGTTTAGAACTGTCCACAATAGGAAAGGTTTGGGGATCAGACTGGGTTCCCTTCATGGATTCCTCAATGGATGAACCTAGAAAGTTTGTTATCTATGCAAAATGGAATTACTCAGCTATAAAGAGAAATAATGTATACAGAATTGAATTACTCAGCTATAAAGAGAAATGATGTATACAGAATGGAATTACTCAGCTAGAAAGAGGAATGAACTTACGTCACTGGAAGGGAAATTGAAAAAATAGAGAACACTTTGTTGATGAAAATAAGCCAGACACCAAAGGAGTAATACTGCGTGTTTGTCTCTTAGGTAGAATAAAGATCTAGAGAAGATCAAAAGCATAAATATAAAATTGGAATGGCAAGAGCATGAGGAAGCCAGCAAGATTGATCAGGGGCAGGAGAGTGTGCAATCAAAGTGCATTACACACTCGTGTGAAAATGTCATAACAAAACCCATAATTTGGTACAATGATGCTAATTTGAAAAGAAAAAGTGGCTCCACATTGGTGGCTCACACCTGTCATTCTAGCTTCAGGAGGCTCAGATCTGGGGACCACAGTTCAAAATCGTCCTATGCCAGAAATTCCGTGAGATATATATCTCCCATTAATCACAGAAAAAGACAGGAGTGGTGCAAGCTATGGTGGAAAAGCGCTAGCCCTGAGAAAATGGAACTCAGGGAAAGAGTCCAGGCCCAGGTTCAAGGCCCAGGATTAGCTGGAAAAAAGAAGTAAACAGAAAACCCGACAAAGCAGAGAGATGAGCTTCAGCATGAACGCTGGAGTGATCCAGGAGCTCTGATAAGAGACTGTGATGAAAAGAGGAAGCCAAGTGCGGCTCCCTGAGCTGAGACCTGAAAGGAGCCTTGGAGCAGCCACTCCATCACAGATGCAGGGCTCAGGATGAGGGCAGAGTGGGGCATGAATGGTGCGGGCACCGCGCAGCTCAGGACACCCTGGACAGACCCCCTCCACACTGCCCTGGGTGCCCATGTGGCCACCTCAGTCTTCCCAGGGGTGAATCCTGTGTCCTGGCAGCGTGGGGCTCAGTGCTGACCCTGTACAGAGCTCGGGCCTCGGGTGTCACACGGTCTCTCTGCAGGGCACAGAATCCAAGATGGATGTGTGGAGACCGTCTGATTCATGGATGGCTGGGGACAGGCAGAGACGACGAGAGAAATGGGGACAGCGCAGGAAGACCACTAGACAGCGTCCTCAGAACTATGGGCTCAGCACCCCAGAGAGCAAAGCCTAACTGACCTGTGGGGTGACCTGTGCTCAGTGATGCAGGTGAAAAAAGCTCAGTGAAAATCCAGCCTGGAAGAGCTGCAGACACACAGACCCCACGCACGGGGCTCCTTGCCCAGGTGTGTCCAGTACCATGTGTGTGAGTGTGTGTGTGTGTGCGTGTGTGTGTGTGAAAGAAAGAGAGAAAAGATCTTGTGTGTGCACATCCACTGTGTGCACACCTGTACACAATACAGTATATATGTGTGAGACCTCCTGTGTGCACATCCACACTGTGTGCACCCAGCAGGAACTCAAGTCATGGAAAATCGTTCAGTCTCTCAGGCTTCATGTCTCTCAGTTGGATTTCGTTGGTAACTATGGTTACCCTGTCTTTCCCATCATCCCTCTGGGAATATCTGCCCTTTTCCAGGCTCATGTTGTATTTACAACACACGAAACTTGTGAATCAACACCCTGTGATTCAGACGATAGCAAAACCTTGGAATCTGAATGTAAAATTAGCCCTGGGGGCACTAGCGCTTTGCTGCTGGTGCTATGGATAAATCATTTGGAAGGCACAATACGAAAGGAGTCCAGGCTGAGGTGGGAAGCTATGGGGTGCGTGCCTTGGCTCCCCAACATTCATGACCTGGAATTTAACCCTTTCAGGGAAGCAGCCTGACTCATGGATGGTGAGTGTCCTCCTGTCCCCTTGAGAAAGGGAGCTGATCTTTCCTTCCCATCCTGCAAGGGAAGGACGCAGGTGTCTCTTCTGCCACACGAAGACATGGCATGTATCCAACCCAGGAAGCAGAAAACCAGCCCAAAGCAGACAGCAAAGTGCTTGATCTTCAAAACCTTGATCCCAGATTATGAGAAACAAATCCTCACCCTGTATAGGTTTCCCCATCGGGGATACCTTTATACCACCAAGAATGGACAAAGACACCACTGAGCTGAACTTGGTGGCTATGCAGGGGAAAACATCCAGCAAACTATGGATTGAGGCCAACCTGCAGAAGAAGTTGATGGGACCGTATCTCACAATAATCCAGGCATGGGGCCCACACCTGTAAACTCAAATATAATGGACATCCTAGGAAGATAACAGCATGAGGCCAGCCCTGGACAAAGTCATTTCACCCTAAGTGAGAAACAGCATAGAGTCAAAGGAGCTGAAGACATGGCAGAGAGCGTGCTGAGCAAACACAAGGCTGTGATTTCAAACCCAAATGCCAAAAATAAAAGTAGCTGAAAAGTGAACATAAAATGACCACCCTAAAATGATCCCCTTAGCATATTTGCAATAGGAAGCACACAGCCTTCCTTAACCCACAACCACTGCTGGGGGAGGAGGGGGTAGAGCGGAAGCCAAGGACCTGCTTCCAGATGAATGCCCCATTTCCTGACTCTGCTGCTGGTGAAGCAGATTTCTCTGTGCTGCAGTGCTTATGAAATGTTATAAACAGGTCCTCTATGTGGTAAAGCTGAACAAGTTTCCAGCAAATAAAATAAGTGCATTTCCGTAGTTTAAAAGTGACAAAATGGTCAGATGGGTTGGTTGCCCCTCCTCGGTAGGGAGAATGGCAGGAATGACTGAAGCCAGTCCCAGAGACACATTCTCAGCCCAGAGATGAACACGGTCATGCACAGCAATCCATTCAGCTGCACAGAAAGCACAGATAGGAGAACACTGCCCATACCACCAGGAAAAATGCATGGCCATATCCCCAAATCACTAAAGCAAATACAGCAAAGACGGCTGCACACACAGCTCGAGGGCAGTGCACCTCTCTAGCAATCAAGAGACTCTTCTATTACAAATTCATACCACCAACAATGTGACACATGCACACATCATTACACCTAATGTGAGCGATGACTGTCTGTGCTGTGTAAAATGCAGTAAGATGAGGTCTCCTAACGCATTCGCTCTGCTGTGGGATGAGGTCTGTGTTCTCTTCCATGTGATCATTGTCACTGTTGACTTCCTGATTCTCCTGTCTTCTCTGCATAGCCTTTGCTCAGATTCCACCCCAGAGCTGGCTATATACCAAGAGAACATGCAAATGGGGCTTCCCTCTGCTCATGAAAAGCTGTAGCTCTGCAGGTCAGGCCTGACTTCCAGGGGGTCCATCCTGAGATCAGCACTGGGCACAGACCTCCACCATGGAGAGGGATCTGATCTGGGTTTTCCTTGTGGCCATTTTAAAAGGTAATTTGCAGAGAAGAAGGGGCACTGGGTGTGTGAGTGGAGCTGAGTGGGAGGAACTGTGGATGTGTGTGACCATTGCTGATCTGGATTCTCTGTGTTTGCAGGTGTGCTGTGTGAGGTGAAGCTGGTGGAGTCTGGGGGAGGCTTGGTGCAGCCTAGTGGGTCCCTGAGACTCTCCTGTGCAGCCTCCGGATTCACCTTCAGTGGTTATTGGATGAACTGGCTCTGCCTGGCTCCAGGGAAGAGGCTGGAGTGGGTTTCTTCCATCTATGATAGTAGTAGGATACACTACGCAGACTCCATGAAGGGTCGCTTCACCGTCTCCAAAGACAACAGCAAGAACACAGTTCACCTGCAGATGAACAGCCTGAGAGTGGAGGACTTGGCCATCTATTACTGTGCTACAGACACAGTGCAGGAAATCCAGACACAAACCTCCCTGCAGGGAATTCAGCACCAACAGGGGGCGCTCAGCACACACTGAGGTCATGCTCAGTCAGCACCAGCAGGGAGCGCTGGGCACACACTGAGATCATGCTCAGTCAGCACCAGCAGGGGGCGCTGGGCACACACTGAGGTCATGGCAGTCACAGGAGCAGCTGTGGAGCTCAGGCCCTGACTCCTCTGTGTGCCTGGCCTCTCCGCAGGACGCAGCATCCCCCACAGAGCTGTCCACTGTGTTCTTACTGTTCTCCAACCCCTCAGCACACAGCTTTTTCCATCTTCCATTGTCGTGGTTCTGTTGTGGTTGATGATGCGTCCTTGAGAGGACCAGACACAGCACCATGCACGGTCGGTGGACACAGCTGAGATCACTGAGGTCAAATCTGAGGAAGGTCAAGATCCCTGCTCAGTCCTTTCCTCTCAGACTCAGGAGAGACGCAGTGGACTCCCTGGCTAGGTCAGTCTTTATCCTCAGGTGGGAGTAGACGGGATGTTGTGCACAGCCAGGGCCTCCGTGTCACTGATGGATTTCAAGGCCCACAGTTCTGCTCACACAGCCCAGCGTCCAGCCTGGCTTTGATCCCTTTGTCCCCTTTCCTCTTGCTGGTGACATGTGAGGGGCCATCGGTCAGGACCAGGGCTGCTCTGTGACCCACAAAGCCCAGTCGTGGGCACCGCTGAGCTGTGGCTACCTGCAGAGGCCCAGTGACCCCCACCAGCTCCTCTGCCTCCATCCCTTTCTACACATGCTGTAGATGATGAGGTTGGATGGGATTCTCAGCCACAGTTCTGGATATGGTCACTGCTTGATCCTAGAAGGACTCCTGTGTTCTTAATTGTCTCTGTGTTGTCCACACCTGTCCTTCACACTAAATCCCCTGCAGACGTGGCCTGTATGCAGTCTCTAGACCCCAGGCCCTGTACCGGGACCTGGAGGTCAATGAGGCTGTGGCCCTGGCTCCTGCATGCCTGGGAAGAACTCACTGGTGTCCCCAGGCTGCGTGCGCTGGACTGTCCTGTCCTCCTCCCTATGGACTCTGGCGGGAAGCTCAGGGGAAATCTGTAGCTAAGGGGACATGGATGAGTGTGAAAACAGTCGTCACTTGGGATTTCACCTGCATCACCTCACTGTCCTGAGCCTGTGCACATGGGACTGAGGACCGGCTGGGGCCAGGTCCTCCTGGAGCACGTGGGCTGTGGAGGTGCAGGGTGGGTGGGAGCTCCTGCGACTGGCCATCAGGAAGAGATCTAGAACCTCCCGCAGAGCCTGCTGCAGACGCTGCCTCTGTGGTGGAATGTCATCCTCTCTAGGCTGTTCCCACTCAGATCCACCCAGCTTGCCAGAGAGGAATTAGTGAGGAATTTCATTCCATCCACACAACATCTCCACTGCAACCTTCAACAGGCTTGGCTTTTAATGTGCGGCATTGATCTGCCGAGGGTATTTCCAGTCCTGGGTCACTCAAAATCCAGGCTGCCACGCCTCAGTTTAAAGGCTGTGTTCCTGTAAAGGCCTGGAGAAAAGGCTCCTTAGATACAAGTGGGAAAGGGGGACTATGTGGCAGTGGGGACCTGGGTCTAGCGTGGTGACCTTCCTGGCTGACAGGTTTCTCACAATGTGCGAGGATGAGAGCAGTGCTCCATGTGCAATAAGAGCAGAGAGCTCAGGTCATCCCTGCTTCCCAGAACAACGATGCTAATGGTCGTCTCCTGCTGTTGTTACATGTCTCACTGGGAGACACATACAATAGACCCTATGGAGAGATCATGGAGTATAGCTCTTCACGAAGACTAAGTCAAAGACCAACAAAGTAAGCACCAGAAAGAGGGTACTGGGAGTGGAGAGATGAGGGGCAAATGGTAGAAGAATGAAGGAGACAACGTGGAGAACGCAGGCAAGAATACAGTGCGTATGCCACAGAATTGAGAACACTGAGCTAAGGGTGGGTCAGAGGGGAAAGGTGAGGAAGGAATGACTCAGATCCACATGCCTTGTATCCATGAACTGCTGTGTTCAATGATGTCAGCATACATGTCCTGAACATTAAGCAGAGAGAGGGAAGAGGTGGTAGAGGGGTGGGCAGGAATGTTGAAATGGGCAACGTTGATTAAGCCTCAGTGTGTTCATAAAGTGCTTCACGGAATGGCAACACGTTTATAGAGCGACTTTTTTTATTTTGTTTTTATTTAATTTAAAAAATTGTGTAGTTGATGTACAGAGCGGTTAAAGTTACGTGAATCAGGTACAATCAGGCAGTTCTTTTTTTTTTTTTTTGGGTGGGGTCTGGTCATGGGGCCTGAACTCTCGACCTGGGCGCTGTCTCTCAGCTTTTCAGCTCAAGGCAAGCGCTCTACCACTTGCACCACAGCACCACTTCCAGCTTCTTTTCTTTTTGCTTATTTGGTGCTGGGGAATCGAACCCGGGGCCTCAGGCATGAAGGCAAGTGCTCTACCACTGAGCCACCTTCCCAGTCCTCAGTGCAGTTCTTTATGAACCATTTTCCCCTTCTGTTGCTCTCTCCCAATCCTTCCCTCCTGTCCCCACCCATAGGATTTCCAGTTCATTTTCCACAGTGTCTGGTGAGTATCACTGTGATATTTATTCATTCCTGTCCAGATTTTATGTGACTCCATTACTTTCCCAAATACAAACAATTAGTAAACAATAAAAAAGAAAATGGGAAAATGTTTTTAAAAAGCAAATGGCTCAGCAATCTTGACTAATGGAAGCAGAGTTAAACTTCTGTAAAGAAGTTCATATTCAATCTGGTTTTCTTGAAGCCAATTGATTAGAGAAATTTCACATTTTATACACTCAACTAACAAACTCTGTCTTCCACCTGCATCTCCTATATGGTCTGTCCTCCTGATACTTCTGCCCCAGAGTTGCTTTATAGCAGAGGACATGCAAATAGGACGTCCCTCTGCCCATGAAAACCAGCCCATCCCTGACCTGAACTCTGTGAGCTGATTCCACCAGTGACTGAGCACAGACCACCACCATGGAGCTGGGGCTGCGCTGGGTTCTCCTTGTTGCTCTGTTGAAAGGTGATTCATGGGGAGCAAGGGATACTGAGTGTGCAAACAGACACAAGTGGGAGGAACAATGGACATGTGTGTAAACATTGCTGACCAGGATTCTCTATGTTTGCAGGTGTGCAGTGTGAGGTGCAGCTGGTGGAGTCTGGGGGAGGCTTGGTGCAGCCTGGGGGGTCCCTGAGACTCTCCTGTGCAGCCTCCGGATTTGACTTCAGTGGTTACTGGATGAGCTGGATCCGCCAGGCTCCAGGGAAGGGGCTGGAGTGGCTTGGAGAAATTAATCAAGGTGGTAGTAGCACAAACTACCCAGACTCTGTGAAGGGCCGCTTCACCATCTCCAGAGACAACAGCAAGAGCACACTTTACCTGCAGATGAACAGCCTGAGAGTGGAGGACACGGCCGTCTATTACTGTGCTAGACACACAGTGCAGGAAATCCAGTGTGGGCCAGACACAAACCTCCTGCAGGGCGCTCAGCACCAGCAGGGGGCGCTGGGCACATCTTGGAGCCGGGTCAGCTCAGGAGCAGCTGCACACAGAGCCCAGGGCTGCTCTCCTGCTGTCTGCCCTGCCTCTGTGTCCACAGTGTGACAGCATCTCTCCTGAGTTCATGACGCGCACTCCTCTGTGATGTCTCCAGTCCTTTGCTGAGACTTTAAGAATGAACAGAGTATCACGGTGGAAGCAAAAATGGCTCTGCAGTGGTGACCAGTATTTGATCCTGAAGAAACTGAGAGACCCTGATGACCCCATGAGACTCAAGGCAAAGATCTCAGGTTTCCCAGAATTCCTTCTGTGAACAAGAGGGAAACCACCTGGCATGGTGACTGGTGTCTGTAATCCTAAAGACTTGGGAGGAGGAGAGAAGAATGATTTTGAGCACCTCATCTCAATCAATAAGCTGAATGTGGCAGCTGTTTCCTGTGATTCCTGCTACACAGGAGGCAAGTGTGGAATCACTGTCTGGAACCTGCCCCAGGCAAAACCACAGCACAGTACCAGATAATTAATAAAATCAGAAAAGCTGCAGAAAGGACAACAGTGGGAAATATGTGCCTAACAAGAAGGAGACTCTGTATTAAAAATAGGAGAGACAGAGACACAGGGACAGAGACAGAGAAAGACAGAGACAGAGACAGAGACACAGAGACAGAGACAGAGACAGAGAGAGAGAGAGAGAGAGCGCACAGCCCATTGACCCATGACTCTTAACAGGCCTCAAATGCTGCCCTCCTCCCTCCACCTGTGGCACTGCTCAGGGGTTCAGAACTGACCTAACAGAATTGCTCCATTCATTCACTTTCTGACTCAGTGATTCTTGGTATCACAGCCTCCTTTTCTCTTTGTCCAGACACCAAATGTACTTGGGGACACAAGTCATAAAATACAGGGGTCGGCCATACCCCTGGAGCTCAGCCTATTGCTGACCTGGGAAATGTTGGTGGACTTTGCAGTCTCCCCTGACCAGGGCCTCTTTCTGGGCACGAGGAGCTGGGCCAGGTGATCTCACAGCAATCTGACTGAGCTTCCTGCATCCTGGACGTCCCCTAACCTGCTCAAACAGGTCCTTGTTTATTGCTCCATTACATTCTGATCAGAAAAGAGCAAGCTTCACTTCCTGAACAAGAACGTGTGTGTGAACTCTACAGGCTTTAGGAAGAAGAACTCAGAGTTCTGAGGTTTTCCCCTGGACAATTTCTGTGGATGATGAGACAAACCAATCACCTCATCAGGAGACATCCATTACTCTGTCCATGTGGAGACAGATGTGACCTCATTTGGAAGAGAAAACTCCTGGTGAGGAGGCCCTGGTTCCCGTAACACAGGGAGGAGTCTGTAGAAGACACTTCTGTATTCATCATTGTAAGGAGTGAAGACAGAATGGGAAGATTTGTACCTAACAGAAATCATCAATAGTTTAGACAAAATCTACTTAACCTACTGAACATTTATCTATGTGTGTGTGTACTGTGTATTTTATAGCATCCTGTTGTTGGCATGTGTCATTATAATGAATAAATAACTAAATTAATGAGTGAATAAATTAGGAAACATACAATTAACCCTGTGTGAGCTCTACTGATGTCTAGGGGCCTGCAGGTCAGCGGTGTGTAGACCTCAGGGTCCAGGCACTGTGCCACACTGTGTTTCATGGGTAACGGGGACAGGGAAGGATTATCTCAGGGCACGTGTGAATACTTCTGATATTGGTGCTCATTTTGGTTCCCTGAAAACATTTTTCAAAGTTTCTTCAGAATGGGAAATATTGTTCCACCTCTATTGGTATAAAATTCATAATTAAATGTTCATGTATTTAGATTTGCAGCATTTCCAAAATTATTATTATTATAAATGTGATGATCACAGGGTTACAGTTGAATAAGTTAGATAAAGAATATGTTTTCTTTGTACAATATCAACCCTTCTCTAGCTCTCTCCCCATTTCTCCCTCCATCAGCTGTATAAGTCATCATCTACATAGTGTCTAGTGAGTACCACTGCTGCCTCTGCTCAGCATTTTACTTCCCGCTGTGCAGCCCCATGATCCCGAGGGTGCAGTTACTGTGAAACCATTGTCAAATGAAGCTAATCCACAGAACATCACCTTACATGGACTCCTCCATATTCTGCAGAGATGATGTCTTCTAGGTTCTGAGACTTGGATCATCCCTATTGTTGAAGAAATGACCTGGTTTCAGGCTTCTGGATTTCTGAGACTTGTCCTGAGACTTGTCATGGAGGATGGGCCCTGTGCTGACGAGAAGATGTGTTCTGGAGCCATTACATTAAGTGTTCTGCAAACATTGTTAGATCCTGAATTTGTCATCACCTAGCTGGGAACCTGTCAATAATGCGTGTAAATCTAGCAACTCAGGAGGATGGCATCTGAGGATTGTGTTCTAAGTGAGGCTGGGCAGGAAAGTCCATAGGACTCTGATCTCCAATTAACCACCAAAGGTGAGGAATGGAGCTGGGGCTCAGTAGTAGAGCTTGAGCCTGGAGCAGAAATGCTCAGAGACTGCACCCAGGCTGTCCTGGAGTTCAAGGCCCAAGACCACCACCAGAAATAAAAAAGCAATCATCTGTCACCTTCACTTTAGCTCCAGTATTTCATGTGCATGTATAAGGAGCAACAGCGTGTTGACTGGTGCTTCTCCAGAGAGACCGTGAAGGTCAAGACGCCGCCTCCAGTAACGTGTCCTGTGACTTCATTACTGGACAGAGCATGTGGTGTCAGCTTGGTGACCCCTCTCAGCACTATTGGATGACAGTCGTATTCATATATTTAGAAGAGACAGCAAGGCAAACCACTCAAAAAGAGCCAAGAACTCAAGACGAGGAAAGCGCAGTGGAGGAGGAACGGACACCATAATTGGAAGGCTCCTCAGAGCTCAGCTCGGGCAGCGGCAGCGCTCACAGAGCCCTGTGCTTCTCAGAGCTTCTCCTCCAGGGCCAGGGTGAGGATAGGCCGCGTCCAGTGCCTGATGCTGTCATTCTACTGTGTTTCTGAGGCGCGAGTGACAGACTCACCGGGTCACCACAGGGGCCAGCCTGCTGCCGACCCTCCAGGGACGTGGATTCCATGCATGAACTCCGGTGGAGGGTGTTTGCTCCGTGGTCTGACCTGTGTCTTCCGGCTTGCGTCCTCTGCTCCCGCTGCTGCCAAAATCATGGGCTGAGCAGTCAAATATGGAATTCTCTGGAAAGAGTTGCTCAGCTCTGCTCCAGAGACCAAGAATTCCGGGTGACATGGAGGCAGGGTGAGCACTGTGAGGGAGCACCGTGGGCTCCTGCTGTCCCGTCTCATTCAGACGTTTCCACAGACAGAGATCAGCAGGAAGAGAAACACTGCACTTTTCACAGCAGATGGGGAGTGGGTTTATACACTGGTGCTTTGTGCCTCTTTGTTCCAGGAAGCAAGATCATCTCTCCTTACGAGGCCGATAAGGACACTCCTGCCCCCTAATATCAAGAGCACACGGGTCAGTAATAAGGAGTGAATAAACGGTTAGTAAGTCTCTGTACATCCATGGCACAGGTAGAAGACGTTCCCTCTCCACCATCACAGTCTGATCCTTGAGAGACCCGGTTCTCGGGATCAGTGATGTCACTACTTGTTCACTGTTTGAGACCGATGCTGCACAGCAGTGTGTGCATTTCAACACCAACCCAGTGTCACAGTGACACTGATGAGGAAATGGGGGGGTTAGAATAAGCAAGTGGAGCCAGGCCCCAGTGCTCTCCTTCTCATCCTAGCAGTTGAGGAGAGGATCACACACAGATCTGGGGATCACACTGTAGCCAGTGCAGGAAGGAAAGGCTGTGAGACTCTTACCTCCATTAACTGCCAAAAAGCCAGAAGTGGTGCTATGGCAGAAATGGGAGTGAGCCAGTCTTCCTCAGAATGCAGACACGCTGATTTGAACAGTATACATGTACACCAGGGACTCCAGGTCTCTCTGGAACCTTCTTTTCTATTTCCTGGGAGTAAACTACCCGAGTAACCACCGTGTGTCTTCATGCAATCCTGCAGGCTCTTCTCATGAGCGGTCACGTCTACCAATCTCCCTCCCAGTTCAGTACACCTCTGAAGACCAGGACAAGCTCTGCAGTCCCAGAACACTCGGTCCACAAGGATTCTCCTGCTTCTGCATGCTTGTTCTTTCTCTTTCCCTCCACTGACACTCAGTGGATCTACTTCCTGATCAAGATTCCAAGGTTCTGTGTATGTACGTATATGTGTGTTTGTGTATATATGTGTACTTGTGTATTGTGGGCATGTATGTACCTGTGAGGTGTGTGTACAGGTATGTGTCGGTGTGTATTTGTTTGTGTGATAAAGAAAGACACTGTTTGCGTTCACACATTACATATCTAAATGAAAAATCAGGTCTTTCAGCAAGCTTGCCTCTTGGTAATTGCAAGGACCAGGGAGATGAGGCTGTGGTCACAGGGCTCAGGTGACTAGAGACCCGCGGTCACCTCCTCTCAGGGGACAGGTGACAGGGACGTTGCCCCTCGTATGCAGCCACAAGCAGGGTGGCCCCACATGCAAATTCCCGCATACACACCCGGAGAATTCCCGCATTCACACCCAGATAAGTCCTACCCTCGCTTAAATTCAGCCTCTTCCGCGCTCTGGAAATGCGTCTGCGCGTGACAGACGTGACCTCGTGAATGTGGAGCAGGTGTGGTCTTTGGGCTCCTGCTGGCAGCTCACAGCGGTGGTGACTTGGGACTGGGCAGGCGCGTGGGATGCGGCGTCTGGGCCGAGACGCAGCTGCTCCTCTGTCCACAGCTGTGCTGTCCCAGGTGCAGCTGCAGGAGTCAGGCCCTGGCCTGCGGAGGCCCGTGCAGACGCCGTCCCTCTCCTGCGGTCTCTGGTGACTCCGTCAGCATGGTGACTGCGGAGCTGGACCCGACAGGCCTCAGGGAAAACGCTGGAGGGGACTGGATACATCTATAAACGTGGGAGCACCACGTACAGCCCGAGCCTCCAGAGCAGAGTCACCATGACAGTGCACACCTCCAAGGACCAGTGCTCCCTGCAGCTGAGCTCCGTGACCACGGAGGACAGGGCCTTGCACTACTGTGTAGGAGACACTGAGGAGACCAGGTGTGAGCCCTGCCACAAGCCTGCCACAGGGACGCACGGGACCCTCAAGGACGCCCAGCACACCTGAGCCCAGAGCCCATCCAGAATACAGCCTGCAGCCCAGGGCTGGTGTCACCGTCTCGCTGCATCTGTACAGCTGACTGCCAGTGATCTCCTCTGGATCTGGGAGGCTGCCACTCCGTGGCATCTCTGAGTTCACAAAGTGATCATGATCTTCAAACGATAAAGCATGCTCCCACATCAATGAGACCAGGGCATCCGCCTGGAAACGGCAATGACCCAGCCGTGGTCCCCAGGACCTGAGGAAGGCCAGGGGACCTGACGATCACTTTCCCATCAGACCTGGGAAGACACTCTGGGATTCCCTGCTGAGGAGGCCCTGAAATTCCCATTGAAAGCGTGAGGGACATGGCTACGCACAGGTCCTCCCTGCAATCCAGGCTGTGTGGGAAGTGGGGACTGGAGGATCATGGTTCAAATCCAGCCAGGGAAAACACTAGCCAGCTGAATCTTAGTCAAGGAGCTGGGGGTGACGGCCCAGGAACACAGGGCCCCCAGCTACACCAGAGCTATGGACACAGCGTTTGAGCTCCGAGCCCAGCCTCAGTCAACACCAAGGCTCTGCCCAAATAACAGCTGACAGCAAAATGAGAGGCATGGCCCAGTCACAGCACGACGGCCCAAAGAGCACAGGCCTGAGTTCTAACCCAGTACTTCCAAATCCTGTGAGGAGAAGCCAGACCGCCACCCCTGGAGCTAGCAAACCTTCCCTTTCTCCCATTCCCGCCTGTGCACATCCAGCTCACGACTGGACAATGGGGTAGTGTCAGTAGACTAATTTTCCTGCCCAGAGACTCTGTTCCATGTGTCTTCTTTTCTCTGTTCAGCCAGAAATGGAGGTTGTAAGTGTGTGGACTGAACCCCAGGTCAGGTGGGGAGCTGGGGTCAGGTGTTGCTCAGGCCGGGGCTTCTGCAGACCTGGGGAACGTGCCGGTGCCACGTCTCAGCCTGCGTGCATCAGCCCTCTCCTGCTGCCTCTCAGCAGGCCTCCTGTGGGAATGGAGGTGGATGTCGGGTCTAGAGGGAGGCTGACCAGGAGTCGTGAGACCTGGATGCAGAGCTCAGCGTTGTCCACTCTGAACACATGATTTCACCTCCACCGTCCGCGGCTCTGGGCAAACGGACACATGGGCAGCCTGTTTGTGCTGTGGGGCTCAGGACCAAGGGCAGGTGTCTGTGAGTCCTGGAATTGTGCACTGTCCAGGACCAGGGGCAGGTGTCCGTGAGTCCTGGAATTGTGCACTGTCCAGGACCGAGGGCAGGTGTCCGTGAGTCCTGGCGTTGTGCATGTCCAGGACTGGGGGCAGGTGTCCGTGAGTCCTGGCGTTGTGCATGTCCAGGACCGAGGGCAGGTGTCCGTGAGTCCTGGCGTTGTGCATGTCCAGGAACGAGGGCAGGTGTCCGTGAGTCCTGGCGTTGTGCATGTCCAGGACCGAGGGCAGGTGTCCGTGAGTCCTGGCATTGTGCACTGTCCGGGCACTGCTGCTCACCCTGAATCTTGTGCTGAGAAGAGCAGCCTCCCCAGGCCTTTGTCCCAGGTCCTGGCCCCTGTGGTGCTGCTACTCACCCTCCTCTCACACTCCCCTCCCTGAGACAAAGACAAATCTCGCCCTGTTCCCTCACCACACCATTACCAGGAAGGAACAAGGCTCATTTCTTGAGGAAGAATTTTTGTCTGAACTCCATGGCTTAGGAAAGGCGTCTTCCACTTGTGAAGGTTTCATCCTGTGGAATCATTTGGACAGTACACAAACCCTTTTCCTCACCAGGAGACAGCACCCTCCAGGTACCTGCTGTGTGTGTGTGGAGCAGGAGGGGGGCAGTGCTCTGCTGGCCTGGGGTCCTGGTGCCCGTGTGTGCCGTAGCTGTGGTGAACGCAGACACCACAGTAAAGACACCAAGCTGTGGAACTCAGATTTTGGCTTCCAGGATGGCAAAGCCTTCCTCCAGCTCAACGCTGAGTTGTTACATAGCACACCACATTTCCATACAACAGTGTACCCAGCATAGGAGTCCCCACACAGACACTAGCAGTGTGAATACCACCACCATTGGTACAGATACTTCCTGTTGATTTCCTCTCCATTCTCCTATAAGCTTCTCCAAATTCTTGAGAAAATTTCATTTGCCCCAGGGTGAATGGGTGGCAATCTGGTTCTCCCTGTTCTCCCTGAGCCCATAGATTTCCTATCCTCCTGAAGATCTCTCCACAGACTCCTGGATGTTGGGTGATTGTCTGTTCATTTCTGGGTTTTAATTTCTGGGTGGTAAGCAGACGTCCACTGAGCCTTTGGCTGCACCAGCAAACCCACCACCCCGTACTTTGACAGTTCCAGGCTTCCAGGCATTATCAGTGATATCCTTCTGCCATATCGGCTGACATGAAGATTGCATTGCGTGGGTCTTTCCCATGTGTATCTGCAACTGAAGTATTGCACACAGAAATGGAATTTCAATATTAAGGGCATATAATGCCATTGCTATGTCTTGAGAGCTCTCAAAACTCAAGCTCTGAGACCCAAAAGGATAGGGAGGATGCATTGCCACCTCCCACATGAACCCTCAGAGCACTGAGACTTTCCTGAAAAGGTCACTCAGGTCCTGACTTGATGGGAATGCAGATTTCTGTGCTAGTGTAAGCTAATTTCACACCAGGCTTTCTGGCAGCTTGGGCTAGAGAAGACTCAATTACTGATTACAATGTCCTCTTAGGATAAAGAGGTCATTATCACTGGAGTGTGATTATACCACTTGGTTGGTGCTTGTGACTTTAAGGACATTGTGACCTCACACTTTGAGATACGCCCTGCACCCTACTCAATAAATACCTTGTAAAATGGCCCCAGGGCACCTGAAGCTGGTGGAAGGCTTCAGGCCCCAGGCACCCCAAACCTGATTCCAGACCTGTGTCCCTTACTGTCCTGTCCCCAGGCTCCACATATTGCAACATGTGTGGACATAAATGACCACTCTGGATTGAACATTCCAGAACCCAGACAAAACACCATTAAGTATTGAAAAATGCTTGAGGACATAACTGTGTTTAACAGGATCTAAACAGTATACAACAGATACATGCAGTACACCTGACAGGCTTCCCACTCTGTTTAGTGTCAGTTCAAATAACAGATCAGGAAGAGCATTGGGAAAGTTAAGGCTCACCTTGTGGAAGGACTGCTGGTGTCTAGGCCCTGCTCAGGAGAGGGCTCAGCCCACATGCTCCAGATGACCGAGCCCCTGTGAGTGTCGGGTTCTGGGAAGGAGTGAGGGAAGGCGACAGTGCCGCTGCTCCTGCTGCGATGGTGACGTTTGGTGTCCTCAGCACTTTGCTAAAAGTTCTCAAGGTCAGAAAGCTTTGTAATTATTTCTATTTCCTTGACGTAACATGGACCATTAAAACAATGCACAGCCACACTTAAGAGTGCAACGTGACAATGCACACAAATGCTGTGGAACCGTTGTCAACGCAGAGCTAAGGATCATACACCGTGCACAGGTTCCATTCTTTGACGGTGAGGAAGCTTGCAGTCTGCTGACTTACACGTTTTCACAAATACAGACCACACAGGTGTCAAAAGCCCTCCTTTGTCTTTCTGAGCCTGCATTACCACACTTCACATGAACTCCCCAGAGTCATCTATGTTGTCACAAATGCCAGGACTTCCTCCCTTCCATGGATGAACAATCTCCTGTTTTGCAGAGATACCACATTTCCTTTCTCCATTCCTTGTCTCATGGACACCTGGGTTAATCTCCTGGCTTGCTGAAGTAAATAATGCCACAGCAACTGAAGATAAGAAACAAATGTGCCACTGGACATTACTGGAGTATGGAATCTATGGCATTTCTAGTGTTTGTGTGCTCATGGACCATGGTATAACTTCCAGTCACGTTCTCATTTACATTCTCACTGTCAGCCTGCCTGCTTTACATGACCCAGCTTGGCCCCCAACACTCGGTATCTCTCATGTTTTATACGCATTTTTATTGTGCACTTTTGCACAAACAGAGACCTTGCACTCTCCCTCTGCTTTCTAACTCAAGGCTGGTTCTCTGCCATTTGAGTCAGGCCTCAATTTCCTTTTCTCTTTTGGATCCATGACTGGTACTCAAAGTCAGAACCTGATGCGTTCTCTCATTGACTAACAGCCTAACAACTGAGCCACGCCTCCTATACAAGGGTTGGTGATTTCTTTTCATTTCCTTCATTTCAGGGTTTTTGCTAGTTAATGGGTCCTCAGCCATGAGTCCCACAGCAGAGCTGCCAGTCCCTCTGTGAGCACACCTGATGGTTCATGCTGACTGCTCAGCTCTCTTCCCCAGCAGGAGAGCTGCACACAGGTCAGAGCTCAGTGCCACAGTTTCTCCACCCTGACTGCTTCTCTGCCATGTCCTGGGTCCCCAGGAACTCCCTGTCGCTGCTCCTTTCCTCTCTTCCTCAGAATCTGCTCAGCTTTGTGTCAGTGGATTCTTGTTCATGGACAAACGTGTTGTTCACCTTCAGCTCACCATCTTGTCCAGCACTAGGAATCACTGTAACCAATGAATTGAAAGACAGATGCAAGGAAACTGTCAAAAGGTTTATAAAACAATTTGATGAAGACACAAGTCACTTGTTAATACTTACCAAATACTCATTTACCTATGTTTTGTTCTGTGTGTGACTCACTGAGGTTATTACAAGTACACAATACACATGATTTGGTTGCAAATACACAATACATATGAATGAGAAAAATAGATTATAACAAATGATACACCAGAGACCACTAGCAAGCCTCTACCTGGACTATGGCCTTCCTGGTTGGTGGTCAGAATGAAGTAAAATGCAGCAAAGCCACACCTAATCTCAGGTCAGGAAGGAGGCTCTGCAGAGCTCACAGATGAGCACCATTCTCCTGGAACACAGCAGGAACTGTGGGTCCTCCTTGGCTGTGCAGGTCCAGACCAGGCATGGAGCTCATACCACATGAGACGCTGCCAGTGTGGAAACAATTCACCATTGTTTTACGCTCCTTGCGTGTGACATTGTGCACAAGGAGGTCACACGCATGTTGCACTTTGTATTTTGTGTGTGATCAGAAATGCTGACAGAACGATCACCAGGCACAATGGCAGAGTGAGAGGACATGTGTGTCCCTCTGCACCCCAGACAGATCTCAGTGTTCTCACACTCTGCCTCAGGCTCCCAAGGAGCTGCAGGTACAATGTGAACCAGAGTGCGTGGTCAGTGCATCATGATGACTCCAAGGTGACCATTGTCACCAAATTTCTCCAGCACAGTCACCTCTGCTCTGGGAGCCCAATCTCTAGACTTCCCCCCAGAGCTGCTTTATCGCAGAGGACATGCAAATAGGACGTCCCTCTGCCCATGAAAACCAGCCCATCCTGACCTGAGCTCTGTGAGCTGAGTCCACCAGTGACTGAGCACAGACCACCACCATGGAGCTGGGGCTGCGCTGGGTTCTCCTTGTTGCTCTGTTGAAAGGTGATTCATGGGGAGCAAGGGATACTGAGTGTGCAAATGCACATGAGTGGGAGAAACCGTGGATGTGTGTGACCATTGCTGACCAGGATTCTCTGTGTTTGCAGGTGTGCAGTGTGAAGTGCAGCTGGTGGAGTCTGGGGGAGGCTTGGTGCAGCCTGGGGGGTCCCTGAGACTCTCCTGTGCAGCCTCCGGTTTCTCCATCAGTGGATATTGGATGAACTGGCTTTGCCAGGCTCCAGGGAAGGGGCTGGAGTGGATTTCTTCCATCTATGATAGTAGTAAGATATACTACGCAGACTCTGTGAAGGGTCGCTTCACCATCTCCAGAGACAACAGCAAGAACACACTTTACCTGCAGATGAACAGCCTGAGAGTGGAGGACTCGGCCGTCTATTACTGTGCTAGGGACACAGTGCAGGAAATCCAGTGTGGGCCAGACACAAACCTCCCTGCAGGGCGCCCAGCACCAGCAGGGGGCGCTGGGCACAGCTTGGAGCCAGGTCAGCTCAGGAGCAGCTGCACACAGAGCCCAGGGCTGCTCTCCTGCTGTCTGCCCTGCCTCTGTGTCCACAGTGTGACAGCATCTCTCCTGAGTTCATGACCCGCACTCCTCTGTGATGTCTCCAGTCCTTTGCTGGGACTTTAAGAATGAACAAAGTATCACGGTGGAAGCAAAAATGGCGCTGCAGTAGTGACCAGTATTTGATCCTGAAGAAACTCAGAGACCCTGGTGACCCCATGAGACTCAAGGACAAAGATCCCAGGATTCACAGAGTTGGAATTTGTTCTGTGAACAAGAGGGAAAACACCTGGCAAAGTTACTCATGCCTGTAATCCTAGAGACCTGGGAGGAGAAGAGCGAAATGATTTTGAGCACCTCATCTCAATCAATAAGCTGAGTGTGGCAGCTGTTTCCTGTGATTCCAGCTACACAGGAGGCAAGTGTGGAATCACTGTCTGGAACCTGCCCCAGGCAAAACCACAACCAGTACCAGATAATTGATAAAATCAGAAAAACTGCAGGAAGGGCTAACGTGGGAGGTGTGTGCCTAACAAAAGAGGCCCTGAGTTCAAAATAGGAGAGACAGAGACAGAGATGGAAACAGAAACAGAGACAGCTCAGCTCACTGACTCAGGAATCTTAACAGGCCTCAAACCCTGCCTTCCTCCCTCACCTGTAGCACTGGGCATGGGGCTTCAGATTCTTCCATTAATTCATTTTCTCCCTCAGTGACACTCATACTCTCAGCCTCCTTTTCTATTTGTCCAACCACCAAATGTACTTGGGGACCCAAGTCATAAAACACAGGGGTCAGTCATACCCCTGGAGCTCAGCCCATGGCACCCTGGGAAATGTTGGTGGACTCCACAGTCTCCCCTGACCAGGGCCTCTTGCTGTCCTCCAGGGGACATGGAAGTGGACACGAGGAGTCTGGGTTGGACTACACAGACAACAGGCCATGTGCATGTAGACTGACCTTGCTGGGCCCCGTCTGTCCTGGGGTTTCCTACATCATGATGGCTCTGGAGTCCTGTGGATGTCCCGTCTGGCATGGAGGCCGGGTCCCTGTGGCTCCGTCATGAGCACTGTCTCCCAGGGACTTCTCCATGTCTGTGTCTGTATTCATCCTTGACTGTCTGGATCAGATGTTCTGCTTTCCACTGTGAGGTTTACTTAAACATAGGGAGACTTCACTTCAACAAAGCACAGAGAATAACACATTGGGGAAACTGACTTTGCCATGATCTCCAAGATCAGATCTGAGGAAGGCTAGAGATGAAAAACACAAATCCACCCAAGGAGTCAGGCGCTGGCCTGCTGAGGCCCGTGCAGACGCCGTCTCTCTCCTGTGCGGTCTCTGGTGACTTCGTCAGCATAGTGACTGCGGAGCTGGACCCGACAGGACTCAGGGAAAATGCTGGAGGGGACTGGACACATCTATAAACGTGGGAGCACTGCGTACAGCCCGAGCCTCCAGAGCAGAGTCACCATGACAGTGCACACCTCCAAGGACCAGTGCTCCCTGCAGCTGAGCTCCGTGACCACGGAGGGCGCGGCCTTGCACTACTGTATAGGACACACTGAGGAGACCGGGTGTGAGCCCTGACACAAGCCTGCCACAGGGACACAAGGGACCCTCAAGGACGCCCAGCACACGTGAGCCCAGAGTCCATCCAGAACACAGCCTGCAGCCCAGGGCTGGTGTCACCATCTGGCTGTGTCTGTCCAGTCGATTGCCAGGGATCCTTCCTGGATCTGGGAGGCTGCCACTGCATGGCATCTCTGAGTTCACAAGGTGATCATGTTGTTATGATCTTCCAACGATAAAGCATGCTCCCACATCAATGAGAGCAGGGCATCGGCCTGGAAACGGCAACGACCCAGCCGTGGTCCCCAGGACCTGAGGAAGGCCAGGGGACCTGACGATCACTTTCCCATCAGCCTGGGGAGACACTCTGGGATTCCCTGCTGAGGAGGCCCTGAAATTCCCGTTGAAAGCGTGAGGGACATGGCTACGCACAGGTACTCCCTGCAATCCAGGCTGTGTGGGAAGTGGGGACTGGAGGATCCTGGTTCAAATCCAGCCAGGGAAAACACTAGCCAGCTGAATCTCAGTCAAGGAGCTGGGGGTGACGGCCCAGGCCCGCAGGGTCCCCAGCTACACCAGAGCTATGGACACAGCATTTGAGCCCTGAGCCCAGCCTCAGTCAACACCAAGGCTCTGCATGAATAACAGCTGACAGCAAAATGAGAGGCATGGCCCAGTCACAGCACGATGGCCCAAAGAGCACAGGCCTGAGTTCTAACCCAGTACTTCCAAATCCTGTGAGGAGAAGCCAGACCGCCACCCCTGGAGCTAGCAAGCCTTCCCTTTCTCCCATTCCCGCCTGTGCACATCCAGCTCACGACTGGACAATGGGGTAGTGTCAGTGGACTCATGTTCCTGCTCAGAGACTCTCCTCTTTGTGTCTTCTTTTCCCTGGTCAGCTAGAAATGGAGGTTGTAAGTGTGTGGACTGAACCCCAGGTCAGGTGGGGACCTGGGGTCAGGTGTTGCTCAGGCCGGGGCTTCTGCAGACCTGGGGAACGTGCCGGTGCCACGTCTCAGCCTGCGTGCATCAGCCCTCTCCTGCTGCCTCTCAGCAGGCCTCCTGTGGGAATGGAGGTGGACGTCGGGTCTGGAGGGAGGCTGAACAGTGGTCGTGGGACGGGGATGGAGAGCTCAGCCTTGTCCACTCCATCCACATGATTTCACCTCCACCATCCGCGTCTCTGGGGAAATGGAATCATGGGCTGCCTGGTTGTGCTGTGATGCTCAGGACCAATGGCAGGTGTCTGTGAGTCCTGGCATTGTGCATGTCCAGCACCGAGGGCAGGTGTCTGTGAGTCCTGGCGTTGTGCATGTCCAGGACCGAGGGCAGGTGTCCGTGAGTCCTGGAATTGTGTGCTGTCCAGGACCAAGGGCAGGTGTCTGTGAGTCCTGGCGTTGTGCATGTCCAGGACTGAGGGGAGGTGTCCGTGAGTCCTGGCGCTGTGCATGTCCGGGCACTGCTGCTCACCCTGAATCTTGTGCTGAGCAGAGCTGCCTCCTGAGGCATCTGCCCCGTGTCTTGGCCCCTGTGGTGCTGCTCCTCACCCTCCTTTCATACTACCCTCCCTGAGACAAAGACAAATCTCGCCCTGTTCCCTCACCACACCATTACCCAAAGGAACAAGGCTCATTTCTTGAGGAAGGATTTTTGTCTGAACTCCATGGCTTAGGAAAGGCGTCTTCCACCTGTGAAGGTTTCATCCTGTGGAATCATTTGGACAGTACACAAACCCTTCTCCTCACCAGGAGACAGCACCCTCCAGGTACCTGCTGAGTGTGTGTGGAGCAGGATGGGGGCAGTGCTCTGCTGGCCTGGGGTCCTGGTGCCCGTGTGTGCCGTAGCTGTGGTGAACGCAGACACCACAGTAAAGACACCAAGCTGTGGAACTCAGATTTTGGCCTCCAGGATGGCAAAGCCTTCCTCCATCTCAACACTGAGTTGTTACATACCACACCACATTTCCATACAAAAGTTTACCCAGCATAGGAGTCCCCACACAGACACCAGCAGTGTGAATACCACCACCATTGGTACAGATACTTCCTGTTGATTTCCTCTCCATTCTCCTATAAGCTCCTCCAGCGTCTAGAGAAAGCTTCCTTATTTGCCCCAGGGTGGATCGGTGTCAACCTGGTTCTCCCTGTTCTCCCTGAGCCCATAGATTTCCTCATCCTCCTGAAGATCCCTCCACAGCCTCCTGGACGTTGGGTGATTGTCTGTTCATTTCTGGGTTTTAATTTCCGGGCTGGTAGGCAGACGTCCATTGAGCTTTTGGACGCACCAGCAAACCCACTGCTCCGTACTCTGACAGTTCCAGGCTTCCAGGCATTATCAGTGTCATCCTTCCACCATATCGGCTGACATGAAGATTGCATTGTGTGGGTCTTTCCACTGTGTATCTGCTACTGAAGGATTGCACACAGAAATGGAATTTCGATATTAAGGGCATATAATGCCATTGCTATGTCGTGAGAGCCCCCAAAACACAAGCTCTGAGACCCAAAAGGATAGGGAGGATGCATTGCCACCTCCCACATGAACCCTCAGAGCACTGAGACTATCCTGAAAAGGTCACTCAGTCCTGACTTGATGGGAATGCAGATTTCTATGCTGGTGTAGGCTAATTTCACACCAGGCTTTCTGGCACCTTGGACTAGAGAAGACTCAATTACTGCTTACTTTGGCTTCTTAAGATAAAGAGGTCATTATCACTGGTGTGTGATTAGATCATTTAGTTGGTGCTTGTGACTTTAAGGACATTGTGACCTCACTCTCTGAGGTCCACCCTGCACCCTACTCAGTAAATACCTTGTAAAATGGCCCCAGGGCACCTGAAGCTGGTGGAAGGCTTTAGGCCCCAGGCACCCCAGACCTGATTCTAGACCTGTGTCCATTACTGTCCAGTCCCCAGGCTCCGCATATTGCAACATGTGTGGACATAAATAAATACTCTAGACTGAATATTCCAGAACACAGACAAAACACCATTAAGAATTGATAAATGCTTGAGGACATAACTGTGTTTAACAGCATCTAAACAGTATACAACAGATACATGCAGTACACCTGACAGGCTGCCCACTATGTTTAGTGTCAGTTCAAATAACAGATCAGGAAGAGCATCGGGAAAGTTAAGGCTCACCTTGTGGAGGGGCTGCTGGTGTCTAGGCCCTGCTCAGGAGAGGGCTCAGCCCACATGCTCCAGATGACCGAGCCCCGGAGAGCGTCGGGTTCTGGGGAGGAGGGAGGGACGGCGACGGTGCCGCTGCTCCTGCTGCGATGGTGACGTTTGGTGTCCTCAGCACTTTGCTAAAAGTTCTCAAGGTCAGAAAGCTTTGTAATTTTTTCTACTTCCTTGACATAACATTGACAATTAAAATGATGCACATTCAGACTTAGAGTGCAACGTGACAATGCACACAAATGCTGTGGAACCGTTGTCAACGCAGAGCTAAGGATCGTACAGCACCCACAGGTTCCATTCTTTGACAGTGAGGAAGCTTGCGGTCTGCTGACTTACATGTTTTCACAAATACAGACCACACAGGTGTCAAAAGCCCTCCTTTGTCTTTCTGAGCCTGCATTACCACACTTCACGTGAATGCCCCAGAGTCATCTATGTTGTCACAAACGCCAGGACTTCCTCCTTCTCATAGATGAACAATCTCCTGTTTTGCAAAGACACCACATTTCCTTTCTCCATTCCTTCTCTCATGGACACCTGGGTTAATCTCCTGGCTTGTGATGTAAACAATGCCACAGCAACTGAAGATAAGAAGCAAATGTGCCACTGGACATTACTGGAGTTTGGAATCCATGGCATTTCTAGTGTTTGTGTGCTCATGGACCGTGGTATAACTTCCAGTCACGTTCTTATTTACATTCTCACTGTCAGCCAGCCTGCTTTACATGACCCGGCTTGGCCCCCAACACTCGGTATCTCTCATGTTTTATACGCATTTTTATTGTGCACTTTTGCACAAACAGGGACCTTGCTCTCTCCCTCTGCTTTCTCACTCAAGGCTGGTTTTCTATCATTTGAGTCAGGCCTCAATTTCCTTTTCCCTTTTGGATCCATGACTGGTACTCAATGTCAGAACCTGATGCTTTCTCTCATTGACTAGCTGCCTAATAACTGGTCCACACCCCCAACACAAGGGTTGGTGATTTCTTTCTGTTTCTTTCATTTCAGGGTTTTTGCTAATTAACGGGTCCTCAGCCCATGTGTCCCACGGCGGAGCTGGCAGTCCCTCTGTGAGCACACCTGATGTCACCTGCTGACAGCTCATCTCTCTTCCCCAGCAGGAGAGCTGCACACAGGTCAGAGCTCAGTGCCACAGTTTCTCCACCCTGACTGCTTCTCTGCCATGTCCTGGGTCCCCAGGATCTCCCTATCGCTTCTCCTTTCCTCTCTTCCTCAGAATCTGCTCAGCTTTGTGTCAGTGGATTCTTGTTCATGGACAAAAGTGTTGTTCACGTTCAGCTCACCATCTTGTCCAGCACTAGGAATCACTGCAACCAATGAATTGAAAGACTGATTCAAGAACACTGTCAAAGGGTTGATAAAACAATTTGAAGAAGACACAAGACATTTTCCATAATTACCAAATACCCATTTACCTATGAGCATATTGTTATTGATTGTGACTTATTGAGATTATTATTATTATTGAGATGGACAACACAGATGATATTGTTACAAATAAATGCATATAAACAGGATAAACAAACAATAAAGCTAGACTGTGACAAGTGAAACACCAGAGCCCACTCACTGCCAAGTGTATGCCTGAACCCTGGCCATCTTGGTTAGTGGTCAGAATGAAGTAAAGTGTGGCAAAACCACACCTGATCTCAGCTCAGGAAGGAGGCTCTGTGAGCTCACACATGAGCACCATTCTCCTGGAACACACCAGGAACTGTGGGCCCTCCTTGGCTGTGCAGGCCCAGACCAGGCATGGAGCTCATACCACGGGAGACGCTGCTGACAGTGTGGAAACAATTCACCATTGATTTACACTCTTGCATGTGCACATGGAGGTCACACGCGTGTTGCACTTTGTGTTTTGTGTGTGATCAGAAATGCTGACAGAACGATCACCAGGCACAATGGCAGAGTGAGAGGACATGTGTGTCCCTCTGCACCCCAGACAGCTCTCAATGTTCTCACACTCTGCCTCAGGCTCCCAAGGAGCTGCAGGTACAGTGTGAACCACAGCAAATGCTCAGTGCATCATGATGTCTCCAAGGTGACCATTGTCACCAAACTCCTCCAGCACAGTCACCTCTGCTCTGGGAGCCCAATCTCTAGACTTCCCCCCAGAGCTGCTTTATAGCAGAGTACATGCAATAGGACGTCCCTCTGCCCATGAAAACCAGCCCATCCCTGACCTGAGCTCTGTGAGCTGATTCCACCAGTGACTGAGCACAGACCAGCACCATGGAGCTGGGGCTGCGCTGGGTTCTCCTTGTTGCTCTGTTGAAAGGTGATTTATGGGGAGCAAGGGATACTGAGTGTGCAAATGGACATGAGTGGGAGGAACCGTGGATGTGTGTGACCATTGATGACCAGGATTCTCTGTGTTTGCAGGTGTGCAGTGTGAGGTGCGGCTGGTGGAGTCTGGGGGAGGCTTGGTGCAGCCTGGGGGGTCCCTGAGACTCTCCTGTGCAGCCTCCGGATTCACCTTCAGTGGTTACTACATGGACTGGATCCGCCAGGGTCCAGGGAATAGGCTGGAGTGGGTTGCAGCAATTAATACAGGTGGTGGTAGCACACGGTACGCAGACTCTGTGAAGGGCCGGTTCACCCTCTCCAGAGACAACAGTAAAAGCACACTGTACCTGCAAATGAGCAGCCTGAGAACCGAGGACTCGGTCCTGTATTACTGTGCAAGGCACAGTGAGAGGAGCCAGTGGGAGCCAGGACACACAGGTTGGTAAAACAACTTGAAAAACATGAAAATAATTTATCAGTTACCAAATCAATGTTTACCTATGAGAAATCTGTTACATGTACTGACATTGAGATGATGACAATATACAATACATGTGGAATTGTCACAAATACACAATTCATATGAAGCAGAAAAACCAATAGGAAAGATTGACTAACAAATGATACACCAGAGCCCACTGTCAGGAATCTGCCTGAACCCTGGCTGTCTTGATTTGTGGTCAGAATGAAGTAAAGTGCAGCAAAGCCACACCTGATCTCGGGTCAGGAAGGAGGATCTGCAGAGCTCACAGATGAGCACCATTCTTTTGGAACACACCAGGAACTGTGGCATCAAGAAGGTGCAGGACCTGCTCTTTCTTGGCAGCCTCTGGGCTTTCCTCTTCCCCTCCGGGTCTCGGGTGGTTTCCTGTTTCTTCTCTAAGTTCACATCTCAGCTTCCTTGCCAAATGTTCATGAACAGATCCTGGGCTCTGCTTTGAAAAGAAAAGTGGATCCTCTGACCCTAGCTATTCCAGGGTCTGACATCTGAAGCTCATGTGGGAAGCCAGCCTGTGTGGGCAAGTCTGTGCTGCTAAATCTAATGATCCAAGACAGCAGTAGTGAAGCTGTGGCTCAAGTGGTACAATGTTAGCCTTCAGAAGCAGTTCGTGGGCTGGGTGCAGGCCCTGGGCTCCAACCCAGGACAGGCACAAAAAATGCAGCCTGCAGGCTTGTATCTGTCATGATAAAAGATAGTTCTGGCTGATCCTAAACACAGAATTGTTCACTAATGGAAGTGTGTCAGCACACTCACAACTAGAATTCACTGAATGTCCAGAGCTCAGGGACTGGTCAGGCAAACATGATGGAACCAGGAAAACAAAAGTTTCAGGTGAATTGTGCATGCAGCTGTCCAACACTGATGATGGGAATGTACACATGAGACCAAGAAGAGAAAACATAACGCAGGTGTCCTCAAATTCACAACCCAGTAGTGTAAAGCACTGCAGATCACTGGGACACAGACACGTGTGAAGACCACACACTGGCCCTCCCCAGCCCAGCCCTGAGGGCCTTTTTCCAGACCTCCAGAGGTTCAGCCTCACTGTTCTCTGCCAAGCCAGTGTCTCACAGGCCCTGGATGCTCTTGCAAATGCCCTGAACAGTACTGGACAGGACACAGACAGGAAGGGGACTGCTGTGCTTACAGTGCTCAGGACAGGTACCCATGGTCCAGGCCGATAAGCAGAGCTGTCTGGAGACACAGTGCAGGGTACTTGAAGGTGGAGATCTACCCTAGCAAGACCATTCAGGAAACACTTTTCAACCAATAGCTGAGTGTGGTGTGTGTGTGTCAGCTGGACTCCTGCAGACTAAGATTGAGGAGATCACCAGAGCAGCACAGCCAGACCAAGCAGTTCATGAGACTCCATCTCAGAGAAAGACGCTCAGTGTGCTGACATGTGCCTATAATCCCAGCCATGATGGAAACTTCACTTAGGAAGATGGAGCTCCAGGTGAGAATATGACCAAAATAATCAGACCCTTCTCAAAATGGCACTAGTACAAAGAAGGTCTGGAAGTCTGCCCAGTGCTAGAGCACCTGCATGGCAGGCCGGAGGCCTCGAGCTGAAGAAAACATCAGTACCTCCCCAGAGCACACGGCTGTGTGGAACCTGTGTGTACTTTCCCATCTGTGCAGGGAGGTGACTGTAATATTCAGATCAACGTGGGATGAATATGTGGATAACCAGCAGGTGGCAGCAATGGGATGCCGTGTGTTCTGGGAGGCCATCTTTGTAGCAATGCCCCTCAGGACTCTCACATCTGCCTCAGCACTGCCCTCCCTGACACCTCCACCCCGGGTCTCACTATGTAGCAGAAGACATGCAAATAGGGCCTTCCTCTACTCACTAAAACCAGGCAGCCCTGACCCTGAAGGCGTGGAGAGACGTCAGCCCTGGATTCCAGGTGAACCATTCAGGGCTCAGGCTGACACAGAGCACTCACCATGGAGCTGGGGCTGTGCTGGGTTCTCCTTGTTCTGCTGAAAGGTAATGTATTGGGACAAGGCACACTGAGTGTGCAAATGTACAGTAGTGGGAGGGACAGGGGACGTGTGTAAACATTTTGACCAGGTTTCTCTGTGTTTGCAGGTGTGCAGTGTGAGGTGCAGCTGGTGGAGTCTGGGGGAGGCTTGGTGCAGCCTGGGGGGTCCCTGAGACTCTCCTGTGCAGCCTCCGGATTCGACTTCAGTAGTAACTGCATGAGCTGGTTCCGCCAGGTTCCAGGGAAGAGGCTTGAGTGGCTCTCATACATCAGTGGAAGTAGTAGTGACATAAAGTATGGAGACTCTGTGAAGGGCCGCTTCACCACTCCAAAGACAACAGCAAGAACATACTTTACCTGCAGATGAACAGCCTGAGAGTAGAGGACACGGCCGTCTATTACTGTGCTAGAGACACAGTGCAGGAAATCCAGTGTGGGCCAGACACAAACCTCCCTGCAGGGCGCTCAGCACCAGCAGGGGGCACTCGGCTCACACTGAGATCATGGCAGTCACAGGAGCAGCTGTGGAGCACTCTGGTTCTGACTCCTCTATGGGCCTGGCCCCTCCACAGGACACAACATTCCCCACAGAGCTGTCTACTGTGTTCTCCTTACTCTTCTCCAGCCCCTCAGCACACAGCTTGTTCTGTCTTCCATTGTGGTGGTTCTGTTGTGGATGATGATGCATCCTTGAGAGTATCAGGCACAGCACCATGCACAGTCGGTGGACACTGCTGAGATCACTGGGGTCATATCTGAGGAAGGTCAAGATCCCTGCTCAGTCCTTTCCTCTCAGACTCGGGAGAGACAAAGTGGACTCCCTGGCTAGGTCAGTCTTTATCCTCAGGTGGGAGTGCACGGGATGTTGTGCAGAGCCAGGGCCTCCATGTCACTGATGGATTTCAAGGCCCACCGTTCTATTCACACAGCCCAGCATCCAGCCCGGCTTTGATCCCGTTGTCCCCTTTCCTCTTGCTGGTGACATGTGAGGGGCCATCGGTCAGGTCCGGGCTGCTCTGTGACCCACTGAGCCCAGTCGTGGGCACCGCTGAGCTGTGTTTACCTGCAGAGTCCCAGTGACCCCCACCAGCTCCTCTGCATCCATCCCTTTCTACACACGCTGTAGATGACGAGGTTGGATGGGATTCTCAGCCTCCCTCTCCTCTGCAGGTGTCCACTCCCAGGTCCAGCTGGAGCAGCCTGGGGCTGAAGTGAGGAGGCCTGGAGACTCGGTCAGGCTGGCCTGCAGGGCCTCTGGATAAACCTTCACCAGCTATTATATGCACTGGGTGAGGCAGAAGGCAGGACAGTGGCTTGAGTGGATGAAGGATCGATCCTAGTGATGGTGAGACCAAATACACTCAGAAGGTCCAGGGCAAGGTCTCCCTGACTGCAGACACCTACCTCCTCCAGCACAGCATCCCTGGAGCTGAGCAGGCTGACAGCAGAAGACTCGGCCATGTACTACTGTGCGAGGCACAGTGTGCACACCCACATCCTGAGTGTGTCAGAAACCTGAGGCAACGCAGCTGCCTCGGGCTGTGAGGAGAAGGCTGATTCCCTCAGCGCTGCTTAGAACACAGAGATGATTCTGAGCCAAGGGCTGCAGACCTGAGCCCATGCTGAATGTGGGAAAGGTTCTACCCGTCCCATTCTCAGAAAACACAGACAGCAAGGGGTTCCCAGTGAATAAAGCCAGGGCAAAACTCCCAGCTAATAGTCATGTGAACACGTTTTCCAGTCAACTGATCCCCTACTATAGAGCTTTCAGCATAAAAGGATGCTGGAGTTTGTCAAGAGCTTTTTCTGCATCAAGATGATCATTTTTTTTGTTCTAGATATACATAGGTATACAACTCTGTGTAGATATGCACACATGTGTATATATGTAGAATACATTTATTCCATGTGTGTTATATATGTGTGTATATGTTGCTCTAATGTGTACCCTATGTATAACTTCACACATTTATATACATATACAAATCTAATTTGCTTTTATGTAGTTTCCCTATGCACATTTTCATATGCAAATCTCCAATGCACAGTTATGTACACTAATGCAGAGATTTATCTACCCCTCTTATCACTGGAATATTGCCAGAGCCTGCCGGCAATGAAAGGGTGTCCTGAATTATGGGGCGAGGATGGAAAAATAAGGACATAAGACAAAGGATGGGGTCGGGAGGTCTGCAGCTCAAGACTGCAGCACCGTTTATTTTTAACTTTTCCAAATATATACTATTAGAAGTCAAGAGGTAACATAAGGTTACAGTAGTCCAGAAAAACAAGGAAAATTTCAGTAAAAACAGAGTGCAGTAAAACAAGACAAGGTCAACTGGTAGAAAGTAAAACAAACTGCAGACATAGCAAAGCAATCCTGGGCACCTGGTGTTTTTTAAGTAAGCCAGTTCCTTGTACGTGCCTTCAAGTGAGCACAGGGGTCAAGATGACCTTACAGCTTTACTGTCAGCTCCCAACAGAATATGAGGGGAGTTTTTATATTCCCTGCACTATCAGCTGGGAATATGTCTAGAACCTGAAAGTCTGTTTCCTCTCATTTGTGTCCTGTGAACGTGTAAGCCAGACAAGGAACTATGGGCTCATCAAACACCTACTCCACAGGGAATATTCACCCAGGACCTCTTCCCCTCCTCTTTCATGTTCACTTCACACGGGACGTCTTCTCTTCCCTTACACATTCACTTCACATGGGACGTCTTACCTTCCTCTTA